ACTACATTTCTATCCATAACTGTGAGTACCAGTTACTACTTCTAAAAAAAAAAAAAAAACATGTAAAAAATAAAAATCTCGGAAACCCTCAATTTGTTGTTTCCCTCTCAAACGTGATTGGATTGTTCAGGCACCAGCGCCACTGATTGGGACAATCTATCAGCAATCAGCTTTCCGCCAAAGTCAACTCCATGATCAGATTTAGATAAGAGTCGAAACAATGGATGAAGACGCAGCAGGTCCATGTCCATCCCGGGAATGTAACAATCCATGGCCCCAGCTGCCAGACTATTTCAATTTTCTGATTTTTTTTTTTTAAATGTTCTTAAATGTTAAATAAAGCAACATGGTAAAAAGATGAATTTGACTTGATTTTACTTTCAATTCCTTTTACATTCTCCAAGGTATTAACATGAACATTTTCCATAACTCCATAGGATGTTTCTGTAAATGTAACCACTGTGGCAGTAGTAATGCAATAGAAAATCTTGTACTTGTCTTGTAATCTTGTACTCTTTCAGTACTTTTAAAAACAAGTACTTTGGTACTTTTGCTTAAGTAGACATTTGACAGTAGTACTTTTTCTTGTACTTGAGTAAAATTTAGCAAGGGGTAAATGTACTTTTACTCAAGTAATTAAGCTGTGCACTCTGTGTCCGCCTCTGCATTTAACAATGTAGCCTATTTATCTGTCAGTCATCAACAGTCTCTGTCAGAGCAACTATATCTTATCAGTTATTTTGAAGCTTGTGTCATAATTAGGACAAATTGTACTAAGCTACTTTGACTGCAGCAGCTCACTGCAACCTCTGCTATTTTTCAGATGTAATAATATCATGTAACTACTGTATCGATATAAACGGTATTGCCTCATTTCACATCGTTTCAAAAAAGTATATATATCGATATATTGTACAAACTCGATATACCGCCCAGCCCTTCAACTGAGGTATGCAGCAAAGCATTTGTGAAGCCAACACACACAACCTTGAGGCGGATAGGCTACAACAGCAGAACCACTCATCTCCATTACAAAGAGGAAAAAGAGGCTACAATTTGCAGGAGCTCGCCAAAATTGGACAGTTAAAGACTGGAAAAATGTTGACTGGTCTGATGAGTCTCGATTACTGTTGAAACATTCGGATGGTAGAGTCAGAATTTGGCGTAAACAGAATGAGAACATTAGATCTTTGGTATGTGCTGGAGCTTCGTGTGTGCCCTGGATGTGCATTGCACAAATCTCCATCAACTGCAAGATGCTATCCTATCAATAAGAGACAACATTTCTAAAGAATGCTTTCAGCACCAGTTGAGGCAGTTCTGGGTGAAAGGGGTCAAACACAGTATTAGTATGGTGTTCCTTATACTCCTTTAGGTGAGTGTCCATCTGAGTTGAACAGATTATCGATAGTTTGGTTTTGAGATGTGGTCGTTGCTCTTAAATGTGAAGGCAGATGAATGCTAGCTTACGTCACCAAAAAAAAAATCCAGTTATGACATTTAGATTAAATTAATTATTATTAGATTAAACATTTATTATTTTAATAAACAACACTAATGAATGGATCAATTGTTACAATACTATCTATAGCAGATATTTAGAAAATAGATGACTGTTTAATTCCTGCTGACTTCAAAAGAGATATTGATCTTGACACACACTGACTTTTTAAGATTTGTTGACTTTCAAAAATTAATATGAAGTGAACTTTTTCTCCTCAAAGAATTTCATCCTCTAATGAGCCTTTTTCTTTTTATGTATATTAGGGCAGATACTGTACTGTATATCACCCTGACATTTCTGGCTTCACGACTTAAAATATGAAAAGGAATTTAAATTCAGAAATTAAAAACATATTCAAGTCTAAATCAATGTATAAATCACATTCGTACGCCCCCTAGTCCCACTTTGGCAAAAAAATAAAATAAATAAAAATAATAATAATAATTATTATAATAATTATTATAAGATAGTAACTTGTGGCCTCAAGATAGTAACTTGTGGCCTCAAGATAGTAACTCGTGGCCTCAAGATAGTAATTTGTGGCCTCAAGATACTAACTCGTGGCCTCAAGATAGTAACTCGTGGCCTCAAGATAGTAACTCGTTGCCTAAAGATAGTAACTTGTGGCCTCAAGATACTATCTCGTGGCCTCAAGATAGTAACTCGTGGCCTCAAGATAGTAACTTGTGGCCTCAAGATAGTAATTCGTGGCCTCAAGATACTAACTCGTGGCATCAAGATAGTAACTCGTGGCCTCAAGATAGTAACTCGTGGCCTCAAGATAGTAACTTGTGGCCTCAAGATAGTAATTCGTGGCCTCAAGATAGTAACTCGTGGCCTCAAGATACTATTTCGTGGCCTCAAGATAGTAACTCGTGGCCTCAAGATACTAACTCGTGGCCTCAAGATAGTAAATCGTGGCCTCAAGATACTAACTCGTGGCCTCAAGATAGTAACTCGTGCCCTCAAGATAGTAACTCGTGGCCTCAAGATACTAACTCGTGGCCTCAAGATACTATTTCGTGGCCTCAAGATAGTAATTCGTGGCCTCAAGATAGTAACTCGTGGCCTCAAGATACTATTTCGTGGCCTCAAGATAGTAACTCGTGGCCTCAAGATACTAACTCGTGGCCTCAAGATACTATTTCGTGGCCTCAAGATAGTAATTCGTGGCCTCAAGATAGTAACTCGTGGCCTCAAGATACTATTTCGTGGCCTCAAGATAGTAACTCGTGGCCTCAAGATAGTAAATCGTGGCCTCAAGATACTAACTCGTGGCCTCAAGATAGTAACTCGTGCCTCAAGATAGTAACTCGTGGCCTCAAGATACTAACTCGTGGCCTCAAGATACTATTTCGTGGCCTCAAGATAGTAACTCGTGGCCTCAAGATACTAACTCGTGGCCTCAAGATACTATTTCGTGGCCTCAAGATACTAACTCGTGGCCTCAAGATAGTAAATCGTGGCCTCAAGATACTAACTCGTGGCCTCAAGATAGTAAATCGTGGCCTCAAGATACTAACTCGTGGCCTCAAGATAGTAACTTGTGGCCTCAAGATAGTAATTCGTGGCCTCAAGATAGTAACTCGTGGCCTCAAGATAGTAACTTGTGGCCTCAAGATAGTAATTCGTGGCCTCAAGATAGTAACTCGTGGCCTCAAGATACTATTTCGTGGCCTCAAGATAGTAACTCGTGGCCTCAAGATACTAACTCGTGGCCTCAAGATAGTAAATCGTGGCCTCAAGATACTAACTCGTGGCCTCAAGATAGTAACTCGTGGCCTCAAGATAGTAACTCGTGGCCTCAAGATAGTAACTCGTGGCCTCAAGATAGTAACTCGTGGCCTCAAGATAGTAACTCGTGGCCTCAAGATACTATTTCGTGGCCTCAAGATAGTAATTTGTGGCCTCAAGATACTAACCCGTGGCCTCAAGATAGTAACTCGTGGCCTCAAGACAGTAACTCGTGGCCTCAAGATAGTAACTCGTGGCCTCAAGATACTATTTTGTGGCCTCAAGATAGTAACTCGTGGCCTCAAGATAGTAACTCGTGGCCTCAAGATAGTAACTCGTGGCCTCAAGATAGTAACTCGTGGCCTCAAGATTGCAACTCGTGGCCTCAAGATAGTAACTTGTGGCCTCAAGATACTAACTCGTGGCCTCAAGATAGTAAATCGTGGCCTCAAGATAGTAACTCGTGGCCTCAAGATAGTAACTCGTGGCCTCAAGATACTAATTCGTGGCCTCAAGATAGTAACTCGTGGCCTCAAGTTACTATCTTGAGGCCACGAGATAGTTATAATTATTTATTTTTTTTGCCAAAGTGGGACTAGGGGTGCTCCGTACATTTGTAATATATTTTGAATAAATGTATAGATGACCATCTCACCATTAATCCTTATGTTATATAAAAATAATAAGCCAATAAATTGCAACACAAAACATAACACTTTAATTTCCTGAACTCCCACTCTCAAGTCGATGGCAACCTATATTTGTTTGGTTATGGACATTCTTAAAGATTTTCTTTTGTGTTCAGCAGAAGAAAGAAAGTCAAATAAGCTTGGAACGACATGAGGGTGACAACATAGGTGAACTATCTCTTTAAATAACGGTTTCTGATGATAAGTGCATGTCACACCACCTGTCCATGTTGACATCTGCCGAATTGACTATAGCTTCGACCAAATGATAGATGAATGCACGGCCAAATACCATAGAGTTTGATTGGATGCATGGCCTTTGACATCAACAAAAAGATACTTTGCATTTAAATGATTTGCATTCAGTGTTGTTTCTTCCCTGCTGTCCGGGATCCTGTCAGATCAGACTTGCGATCCCTTGCACTTTTATGTTTTCATCCACCATTTTAGCATGCCATCACTATGGTTGAATTTCTGTGTGAACCCAAAGTGAACCACACTGACACACTGGAAATCTGGTCACCTTATGTGGCGAGTCACGCTTGTCTGCGAGATAGAAACATGGGGACATTTACTTCACAATGCTGCTGTCAATCACGACCACGCAGCACTCTGGAGCAGCAGATGGTTTCGCAGAACCAAAAACAAATTCATCTGAACCCCAGCAACCGAGGTAAATAGCTCACACGCTTTGAACAGACTCCTGCTGCCGTGGAGAAGGATGTCTGATAATGGGCTCTGTACAGGGTGCCAGCCTTTTGAACGCCGCATGTCTCCATCTCCTCAGTGCTCATCCATCACACCGGGAGCGATGACGGAGTGGAGGACTGAGGGAGGTCACTCTCCTCATCGTTATTCGCCTGCTGATAAGTGCCAGCGCTCGTCTCTCAGGACCGTGCATTTAGGGCACTAAATTTGCCACAAAGAAAGTAGGAGGAGACCATATGCTGTCCGTCTTTAGGGGTTGTTAAGAGCCTCTTCACACACTAAGGTGTGATGGAACGTTGGAATATGCCATGTGAATCAGGCAGGAAATAATGTTTATTAATGACCATGTGATTGATGTTTCAGAACGCAAATCTGATTTTGGCGTGAATTTTAAAATGAATCTCAGGAATGGGAAAATTGCCCTCCATTGACAGATCAATACATATTTATGTATTTCAGCAAATTAATTCATTTGAATATCCACCATTCATTTGAATATAAGCCATTACTAGCTTGTTCGCTTCAGCTGATATCTTTATGCTGTAGATCTGGATTACACATTTGAAGGAATAGCAGCACCTCTGCTGTCAGTGCCAATAGAACTTTTAATGGTGTACTTCAGTATTCTCTTTCAAGACTTACAGGACTGGATTTAAAATACATTCCCTAAATTCATATAAATGTATACATATATAGTCATTTGGTGTCGGTAAGATGTTTTAATGTTTTTGAAATAAGTGTCTTATGCTCACCAAGGCATTTTGATAAAAAACAGTAATATTGTGAAATATCAATATACGTAATTTAAAATAACTTTAAATACTTTCAAATGTAATTTATTGATGTGATCCAAAGCTGAATTTGCAGCATCATTACTCAGAAATCATTCTAATATTGCTGCTAAAGAAATATTATCATATTATTATTATAAACGCTGAAAACAGTTGCTTAAAAAACGTTAGAATTGTACGATTAAAAGTCGCAATTATCTTTCATTTTTACTATTCTGTGATGGAAACCACCTTCCATATCTTGATGTGTTATTGAGGAGTTTCGTTAGATTGACTTCCAACTAATTTGCGAATGGAACATTTTTGTTAAAAATACATTCTTGTGTTCTATTGCAGAGTTGGGATCCAGCCAAACCCAATCCGTCAGCTTCAAAAACAAAACAAAATGTTAGATTTTTTTTAACTAGGTCTTTTTGCCTATTTTATTTAATTCAAACATGGCAGAGTTGATAAAATTGTGCAAAACTTTGTTTAGTCTGAACTACCATTTGAACCAAAGACATCAAATATGTACCAAGTCTATGAACAGTAATGACTTCATATCAAACGGCAACAGTTAAATTAACTTCTCAGCGAGTAAAGCAAAACATCAATGGCAAAAATAAATTAGTTTGCTTTTCTAACTACAAAGTTTCGCAGGTTCATACTCTTTGTAGAACGGCTGTTTGGCACTAAAAGTCTGCAGTGAGGAGAGTATTCTCTGTACCTCGGAGCTCGACAGTTTGAGCCTATGTCGGAGTAGGCAGGAGAACAGATCTAATGGCAGTGGTCCAGGAGGAGACAGTCTATTGACCCGGTATCGGATCTCCATTAGCTGCAGCAGGGCAGAGTCTTGAGATCCCAGAGTGTACGGATAGTCCAACTGTAGGATCAGGTCCTGAATAGCCTCGGGATCAAAGTGCATACTGTAACCAAACAGCTGCATGCTGTTGATCTTCATGTATCCTAAGTTCTGGGAGGAATCCATCGCTTCTAGAGGCTCGAAGTAGACCGTGTCGTTCCCCTGAGAGGACTCGGTCCGAATGCGGCTCCTCAGGTAAAAGTGAACAGTCTCAAAAAAGCTCTTCCACCGGTTGCCTAAAGTCAAGGTCCAATTGAAGCAATCCAAAGGAATGTCTAGCTTGGTTTTCTCCCAGTCCGGGTAGCTGTTTTGATTGATGGGCATAGTCCAGCTTTCTGAATGGCTTCCGCCAAAAGGGTTGACGTAGACGGACAGTGCGGGCTCTAAGGTGGAGTTCTTGGTCATGCAGATCTGCAGTGAGATGCCCAGGAGCATATGAACACGGTTGGATTTGAACTTGTTACTCTTTAGCGTAAGCAGCATCCTCTTTCTCCAAGATGGGTCGAACCAAACATTGAGGCGCACGTCGTTGCTGACGAAGATCGCATGCGTGGTGATGCGGCCGTCTCGGTGTTGCAGTAGGTAGCGTAGCTCCAGGTCTTGTAGGTCTGTCTCAAAGCCCAGGTAGTGGTCTGTGGGGTTGGGTACAGCGTATTTACAAACTCCATGACTGAGAACGTAACCTGGGTTGCAGCTGGAGCAGCGGGTGCGGTTGTCCACGGAGCAGGAAGCGCAACGGTGGCCATCACCGACTTCGCATGGGATGACACCCTGGCACGAGGGGTTCTCGTACGGACAGGCACAAGTCCGTAATTCCTCTGTGTAAAATCCCAGTTGGTTATTCTCACTGCAGTACAGGACGGACAGGGTGAACTGTAGCCAGTAGCCCAATGGTCTAGGAAAACCAACAGTAAAAAGAAAAAAAGTGAGTAATCATTTTGTATAGCTTGTAATGAATGCAAATAATTGCAAAGATCATAAAGCAATGATTCACAACAAACGATGACTGCCAATAGACAGTTTTGTTTAGAAACAGCGCTAATTGGCTTCTAACCTTCAGCTCTGCTAATATCTGCCTTTGAAAGCACTGGTAGGACAAAAGTACTCCATTAGTGCAGCTGTAGCCTCAGAGGCTGTGGTGGGTGGTTAAACAATAGATTAGTCATTAGTCTTTTACACTTGCTCGGAGATCGGACTTGGCTAAACAATTGCGCTTTCAAATCAAAATCCAGTAGTCTAATACTCATTCGAAGTGTTTTCACAATCCCAGAGGGATATTAAATTGCTGAGAGCTTACTCTTTCAAAGCTCAATAGACTTGATCGAGATTTTACTTATGTTTAATTTATGCATCATCAATACATTACATAACAAATAGACACAAAACAACCAACATTGTTGGTTTTAAAAGTTTCTGACGCATGTGGACCCCAAATATTGATTTACTCATTCCCATTTTTAGGGGGTGAATTACCCCAAAAGCAAAAGTCTCCATTGGTTCTCCTTTTCATTACTGTCTAGGAGAAAACAACTGAAATATTGAAGGGATCTTATTTGTGATTCCCTATGGGATGGGATAGAAAAACAAACAATTTCAGCTAAAACAAAATAAAACTTTTTCAGTTTAATGATACAAAAAAAAAAAAAAAATCAGAATTCGTTATAGACTAAAACTTTGAAGTTTTTCATGTAGCTTCATTTGCATACCATGCATAATTATACAACAAAAAATGAGGATTCATGGGAATAATGTGTGCCTATAAATACATTTTACCTCTCCCTTAGAGACACTATTTTGGGCCGAATGCGGCATCTCTTGCTGAGGCTGAAGAGCTTGTTAGCAGTTCGTCGTGTCTTGGAGAGCAGGAGGCTAACGCGGCTTTCTAGCTGCCTGTAGCGCTGCTGTAGAGCGCTGTCCGTCCTCCACAATTGCTGGATTCTTGAAGAATTTAGAGCGCTCTGTGTTGGTAATTTACCCATGAAGCTCTGGAACTCATCTAATGAAAATGGAAATGTGAATGAAGAAGATTTTCAAAATGTAGTTGTCAGCAAAATACAAAAATGTCAGTAAAAAAACTAGTAATACTGTAATAGTGTTCGTCTGGTTGCTATAGGTCGGTTGTTTTTCAGTTTTCATTTAAGTTTAATATTTTGTCTTTTCTTTATATTTCTAAAATATAAATTTCATATTTCTAAAAAAGTAAAAAAGCTTTTACATTTTTACTTCAGTTCAAGTCTTAGTAGTAATATAACTAAATACTAAAGTATAATACTACTTAATCATTAATATAATCATAATCACTAATATTTAATTATTTTTAATAGTTTAATAGCTTTGGTTGATAATAACAACACTGGTATCAAGTAATACGTGGGATAATGTACAGTCAGCCGGTCAGTATTGCTTAAAAAAAGAGGCAATTTTTGGTGAAGTTCCCAAGGAAGGGAAGCAGTCTTGTGGCCTAATGGAGACACCAGCACTTCATGCATGTGTATGGAGGGGACAAAAAAGCTCCACAGAGAAAAAACAAGATGTTATGGCACCTGAGTCTTGAAATTCCTGATTCTCCTGTCTCCAGGCCTCCCTCATGCGCTCCAGGTAGCTTTCCTGGGAGCGGATATCAGCCTCGGGGCAGTTACACTGGGGAAACTCCTTGCTGCATTGGCACCAGCAATCATTGTCTTTGCACACAAACTGGCCTTCAGCATTGCAGCCTATGTAGCCTAAGGCAGCCTGAACAAAGCTGCTACTTAAATAACTAGGCAGAATAGCCTGAAGTCCTAGAATGAGAAATACAGAAGTGTTAGGTCGACCACACATGCCTTTGCTTTTCCATGGCTGAGAGTCAAAAGGGCCTCCGTCTCGTCAGTTGCTAAATCCTTTAATCTAATTAGCAAGCACAGTCAACTATCAACATTCAAGTTTTGTGTATAATTAGCAGGCTAATTAGACAACGGCGGCATCAACGCTTTGATCATGTTGCTACCATGGCTCATCACACAACCACAACCTCGGGAAAACACTTCAGAATTAACAGCAGAATGGGGGGAAGTGTTTTATGAGGAAGTGTGGGATTGTGTACCTTGCAATTGAACTTTGTTCTCCTGGCTGTGAACCAGAACGGAGCTGACGGAGTCGAGGTTGTCATAGTTACTGCAGCCCAAAGGGCCGGTTCTGGTCTCAGTTACCTAGAGAGAGAGAGAGAGAGAGAGAGAGAGAGAGAGAGAGAGAGAGAGAGAGAGAGAGAGAGAGAGAGAGAGAGAGAGAGAGAAGCAGTTATTGGCTTTGTCTAATAAATTGATTGAAGTGGCTGGTGAATATCATTGTAACCATCTCAACAAAATCTACATGAGTTTGCCCTCATAAAAGAAAAACAAATATTTTAACTTGATATAGAGCATATATATTTATACAACAGTTCTTTCTGGTTCTTGAATCTGATTGGCTGAGAGCCTTTTTTTCAGCACTGTTACCATTTCACCATTTGTATCACTCCCCTTGCAGCATTTCTCACAGTGAGTGTCATGGTGGACGAGCAAACCAACATAATTTTACAAATACTACTGTTATTGTGTCACGGAATATAGTTTTAAGAGTTTTACCTTTCCTTCCTTCCTCTCGGCCAGTCCTACGGGAATTTGCTGCTGTCTCTTATTTACATACAATCTTTGGTCTTATTAATTTGGCCTACTTTTTCCAGAGCAAATTGACTTGGCCTGGGGCAAAGTTAAGTTTAATAACTTTAATGATAATCATTTACTAGCTGCTTTTGTACTTTTGACTGAACTGTTTATTTCCTATTGTACAAATATCTTATACTTTTGTTTATTTAAATATGTCAATAAATTTGGCATTAATAAAGGGTCCGTTAGTAATTGTGGTTTCGGTAAAAGTTAGCTAGTTTTCCTTTAGTTGATAACATTGGACATAGTCGACGTCGACTGAAATGGGATCACGCCTTGGAGCCTATTGTCTTTGAGTATTATTGAATGAGCCAATGCACATTGGCGTGTGAGATCTGCATCTCGTATAAATACGGAAGTAGATGCATGCACCATTTGCCTTTTGCTTCGGGGTCGAGCTCATGTTTAGGTCTTCTGAAGAGTGTTGTTATACAACGAGCGATCTCAACTGCTGTTTTGACAGCAAGAAATTGTTTTTTTTTGTGTGTGTGTGTTGACAGCTGGTTGAGGGCAAAAAAAGTGAGCGCTTCACTGATACGGGCTGCACCATTCCTGTGTCGGTGTTGCCGCGGCCATTCCCCTGTGTGCTTTTCACCGTGAGTTTTTCACTTCCTAAAAGAGCAAAACAGGTGCGTTTGTGTCTTTTTCAAGATGTCATTCTGCCCGTGCGATTCTGGATGCGATCGTTCCCTGTCTCTCTGATGGTCACAATTGTTGCATCACGTGTTTGGGTTTACAGCATGCTGAGGCAGCTTTTGTGGACAGTACATATTTTCATTGTGGAAATATGACTGTCACAGTGTTGAGGCCTTCGTCCGCGAAGAGCGAGTCCCTATTACCTTGCCCACCCTGGAACTCTCCACTGCTGCCCCGTGGAGACAGGTAAGTGAGGCATTGTCCACTCAGTCCCCGCTTCGGGCCACCCACAGACCTTCCGATCTGGGTCCCTGTCCTCCACCTTGCTGCCTCACCTAGGATGTGCCTGTGGTGCCTCTGGTACCCCTGATACCCGTCCAGCAGGCTCCTCCATGTAGCCGAGCCTGATGGTACGATTCAGTTCTGCCGACGCCAGGCCAAGTACAGTGGCTTTCGCCACACTTCGGTGTGGGGCGCATCTGCTCCTGTCATGTGTGTGGAAATCGGTGTTCTGCTGGCGAAGGACATGATAGAGCTGGTGTCTGTAGCTCAGATAAAGACTGGCTTCTACAGCCCGTACTTTATTATACCTAAGAAAGGTGGTGGGTTACAACCGATCTTGGACCTGCGAATCCTGAACCGGGCTTTTCACAAGCTCCTGTTCAGAATGCTGAAGCAGAAGCGCATTTTCCAATGCATCCATCCCCATGATTGGTTTGCAGAGATCGACCTGAAGGACGCATACTTCCATGTGTCCATCCTGCTGCAATACAGGCCATTTCTGCGTTTCGCATTTGCGTTTCGACGACTGGCTTATAGCTCAGTCTCGGGAGCATTTATGCTAACACAGGGATTTTCTGCTTCGGCACATCAGCCAGTTAGGTCCTCAGGTCAGCTGGAGGAAGAGCAAACTCCCCCCGTGCAGAGGATCTCTTTTCTCGGTTTGGAGCTGGACTCACTCCAACACAGGGTGCGCCTCACAGAGGATCGTGTCCGGTCGGTGCTGTACAGCCTGAATTTCATCAAAAGCAGAATCCAGTCGGACCCTTTGTTTCTCCGGGCCGGAGTGCCCCTAGAACAAGTGTCCAGGCACGCTGTGGTCTCCACAGACGCCTTCAACACCAGCTGGGGGGCCACGTACAACAGGCATGAAGTAGCTGCAACTGGACGGCGTCCTACATGCATTGGCACATCAACTGCCTCGAGTTGTTAGCAGTATACCTTGCTTTGAGACGCCTCAACACGACGCTGTCCGGCAAGCATGTACTGATCCATATGGACAACACTGAGACTGTTGCGTACTGTCAAGGTGGTCTATGTTCCCCGTCGCATGTCACAACTCGCCCGCCACCACCTCCAATGGGGTCAGAAGCATTTGAAGTCGCTTTGTGCCATTTACAGCCCTGGCCTGCTCAACCGTGCCTTCGATGAGCTCTCACGACAGATTGTGGCCTCGGGAGAATGGCGACTCCATTCCATTCCAGGCGGTCCAGCTGATATGGGACCATTTCAAGGCCACACAGATAGATCTGTTTGACTCCTGGACTCGTCCCATTGCCAGTTGTTTTATCCCTGTGTCGAGGGGACCCTGGGCACAGATGCACTGGCCCACAGCTGGCCCTGGGGCTTTCGCAAGTATGCATTTCCCCCAGTGAGCCTTATTGCTCAGCTGTTGTGCAAAGTCAGGGAGGAACAGGAGCAGGTTTTGCAAGTTGCCCCTTATTGGCCCAACCGGATCTGGTTCCTTCAACTAATACTCCTCTCGACAGCCCCTCCCTGGCCTCTTCCTCTGAGGAAGGACCTCCTCTCTCAGGGACAGGGCACCATATGGCACCCGCGTCCAGACTGTTGGAAACTTCAGGTCTGGTCCCTGGACGGGACAAGGAGGTTCTAGGTGATCTACCGCAGTCAGTCGTAGATACCATCACTTCTGCGAGAGTACCCCCTACGAGGCATGCTTACGCCCTGAAGTGGAACCTATTCATTGAGTGGTGTTCTTCTCACCAAGAAGACCCCCGAAGATGCTTGAAAGTCCTGTGCTTTCTTTCCTGCAAGATGGGTTGGAGTGTTGGCTGTCCCACTCCAACCTCAAGGCGTATGTTGCCGCTATTGCCGTACATCACGATGCAGTGGATGGAAAGTCCTTGGGAAGGGACCATCTGATCGTCAGGTTCCTGATGGGAGCGAGAAGACTGAATCCAACTCATCCCCCCTCTGTACCCTCTAGGGACTTATCTCTGGTGCTAACCACACTGCAGAGACCTCCCTTTGAGCCACTACAGGTAGCAGAGTTAAAAATTCTGTCCCAATAGACAGTTCTCCTGCTTGCTTAGGCCTCCATCAAGAGGGTGGGGACTTGCACGCATTTTGGGTCAACAAATCGTGCCTGGAATTCGGGCCAGCTAAATTTCAAGTTATCCTGAGACCTCGGCCTGGATATCTGCCCAAGGTTCCTACCACTCCCTTTCGGGACCAGGCGGTGAACCTGCAAGCGCTACCCCAGGAGGAGGCATACCCAGCCCTGACTTTTCCCCTGTCCCGTCCGCACTCTGCACCTGTATGTGGACAGAATGCAAAGCTTTAGGACCTCAGAGCAGCTCTTCGTCTGTTACGGAGGCCAGCAGAAGGGAAAGGCTGTCTCCAAGCAGAGGTTGGCCCATTGGATAGTGGATTTTAGGAAATCAATTTTCAACTCTAAAGTGTCTTTACTGTAAGTTCACCAGGAAAGATATTTTTAACATTGATTTACCATGTTTGGGCAAATGTTGTCATTCAGTGTCAATCAGTGCTTTGAAAGAACTTATGGACTCACTCCACAAGGAATGTTACCGCCTCCTGGGCGTTGGCGCAGGGTGCCTTGCTGACAGATGTCTGTAGAGCTGCAGGCTGGGCAATACCTAATATGTTCGCTAGATTCTAATGCCCACGTGTCGAACCGGTTGCTTCCCGCGTGCTCTCTTCTTATACAAGCCAGTAACACCGTGAGCCCCAGTTGAGTGTCAGCTTGCGCCATTCCCCTCCTATGGACTAAACACTTGCACTATTTTACTCCAGTTGAGTTGCCCTTGCCCTCGATCTTGCACGCCAATGTGATCTCGCACGCCAATGTGCATTGGCTCATTCAATAATACTTGAAGACAATAGGCTCTCTCGCATGATCCCATTTCAGTAGACGTCGACTACATCCTCCGTTCCCTCCTCCTTCGGGGAGAGTTGCACAGTGGGTTGCATATGCAATAGGATGCTATTACACCATTAGATGGCTGCAAAGACTCTCTTTACAAGTGAGTCAAGAGCAAAGACTTTTACAGTATATTGAAAGGGACTTACGGTTGTAAACAATAAAATGCAACTTACTAATGCATTGAAAAAAGCTGTAAAGTAAAATCTTCTGAAGTGAAAAGACATCGCTTTCCACAACCGGACATTCAAATTGATTTTGTGATTATGAATATGCCAACTTGAGATTTAGATCCATGGCGGAATGAAGTAGTTCTGTTCAAAAGAGGGTTTTTAAGGACACTCCATTGTTGTTTCTCAGTTATTTATACACTTGTTCCGTCAGACAATATATATTGGTCACACTTTAGATTAGGATCAAATTTTCTATTAACTAACTATTAACTACTGCTTTAATAAATAATTGTGCTCTAATAAACAGCCAATATCCTAGTAATATGCATGCTAATAAAATTGTTAATAGTGAGAATTGGATCATGAGGTGTTACCAAAGTGTGTGTATAGTTATAAAAAAAGATTGCTATTTCAAATTACTGCTGTTCTTTTGATCTTTTTAATCATCAAATCCTGAAAAACTTTTCCCACAAAAAAATTTAATCAGCTTGACTTTTTTTCAGCACTGATAAATG